TATTGCAGATTTGGTTTTAATAATAAAACTGAAGTTTATTTCACAAAAGAAATGAAAATAGAATAAACCAAACTTTTTACACACAGCACACATGTAAAGATTTTGAAACATGCAGCAAAAACATACTCCCATTAATCCCAAAAACACTCCTCTACAAGTACCAAAAACAGCTTTGCAGTACTCACACCAGAGAGAATCTTCTTTTCTATCACCTCTATAGGCTTAATTTAACTCTGACCTACCACTCCCAGTCTGAAGAATCTGATAGATTGCTCCTTCTGGAATATTCATACAGCTGGGTTTAAACTTTCTTAGCATCAAATAACCCTCAGTGTTTACCTAAGCAGTCCTGGTCTGGTACTAAACTCTTGCTCTGAGTTTTTTTTTAACAAATCTAAACAATTTTCTTCCTTTATCAGGAGAAACTGCTTCACACATTCGTCTTCAGACAAAACAGAATTCCCAAAGCGAAACCAAAACCTTTCTTCCAAGCCTGAGTACTCCCTCCAAACTTAAAAACATACATAATAGAACCTGCTAACTGAAACCTGTTTTATTTGTCCAGTCGTAAAAACTCTCCAAGATAAAATGAAAACCCGTTAGTTCTTGAGGCTATATCTCTCAAACTGTTTTAAAAGGAATCACCATGGTTACAGAAATACTTAGAAGTTAATCATTATTAACACCCCTCCATACACAGAAACCCCAAATGCCAGTAAGTTCAATATTCAATAATAATGAAATATCTATAAATCACACACACTACAAGACAGGTACTGCACTCTGTTTAGGGCACCGAGAAAGGATCTGTTGGCCAAAGAAAGGTTACATGATGACTCATCAGGATGAGATTGGGACTTAAAGGCATAAGTAATAATGAGATTACACAAACTTAGTTTGTATTCTCTTGAGAGCAGAAGGTCTCACATCTAATAGAAACATAGAAAGTAGCTGCAGAAGTAGGCCATTCGGCTCTTTGAGCCTGCAACACCATTCAATATGATCATGGCCGATCATACAATTTCAGTATCCCACTCCCGCTTTCTCTCTATACTCCTTGATCCCTTTAGCCACAAGGGCCACGTCCAGCTTCCTCTTCAATAAATCTAAAAAACTGGCCCCAACAGCTTCCTGTGGGAGAGAATTCCACAGGTTCACAACTCTCTGAGCAAAGAAATTCTTCCTCATCTCAGTCCTGAATGATCTACCGCTTATTCTTAGACTGTGATGGAGATGTATCAAATGATTGAGAGACTCGAGAAATTATTTCCTCTGATACAAGTATCCAAATCAACAGGACATAATCCTAAAATTAAAACAACACGAAATTAAGAAATATTTTTCACACGAAAAGGGAGCAAAGATCTGAAACTAAAATAAACTTTGATCGCTTAATGTTATTTAATCTGGAACCAAAGAATGTCAACAGTGCAACCAATAAAACTTTCAATATTGAGATCAATCAACTTTGTTAAGTATTTATATCAAAGGTGGATCAAAGGTGGGATAAGTAGATTTGAAGTACAGATCAACCTCGATCTGATTGAATGGCAGAACAAGGTCATAGAGTCAGAGTCCTACGGCATGGAAACAGACCCTTCAGTCCTTGACGAATATAATCCCAAGCTAAACCACTCCCACCTGCCTTCTCCTGGCATATATCCTTCCAAACCTTTCCTATTCATCTACTTATCTAAGTGTTTTTTAAATGTTGTAACTATGCCCACATCTAGCACTTCCTCAGGAAGTCCAAGGGCTGAATTGCCTACTCGTTTTCCAATGATCCTATAGTTGTTCAGCTGTCTCCCCCATTGTGTTTACGAACTTCAGGTTTAATTTCTTCTTACATGAATAAGGCAAAACATAATTATTAAAATTACCAGAATGTATTGTACCTTTACAATCTGTATCATAAACAAAATCCTGTCATGGTTTATGTAATTATGTTGTAAATTGCTTTCCAACATTTTGCTTACATGGTTTGTTTTCAATCTCACTGGAAATCAGCATTTCTCTATTTCATTTTTATTGACAATGAAATATAAATTTTACATAAAAAAATGACTTGCATTCTTGGAGCATTTTGCAAGACCATCGGATATTTTAAAGCAATTTAGAGCCAGTGAAATACATTTTTTAAGTACATTTCCCCATCCATCACCAACACACAGTGAAAGCAGTATGTACCAGCGACAAGATGCCCTGCAGTGATGCACTAAGGCTCCTACAAAAGCACTTTCCAAAACAAGAACCCCACCACCTGCAAATTTCCCTCCAAGCCACACACCATCCTGACTTGGAACTTCTGTATCACCACTCCCTCACTGTCAATGGGTCAAAATCCTGTTTGTTTCCTAACTATATCTACATCACATGAACTGCAGCAGCTCATCAGAAAAGGGTGAAGGGGGCAGAGCTGAAATATCACTGGACTAGTCATCCAGAAGTCAGGATAGTGCACTGGAGACACGGGTTCAAAACTCACCACGGTACTCACTTATATCTTGCAAATCTTGCTTAGAAAGGCAGTCACTGGAAAACATCATTGATTTTGTTGCTTTAAAAATTCATGTGGTTCACTAAACCCTACAGGGAGGGAAAACTGCCATCCTTACCTGGTCTGGCCTACGTGTAACTCCTGAATGACAGCAATGTGGCTGACTCTTAACTACTGGGAAATGGCCTAGAAAGTCACTCAATTCAACAGCGAATAGGGATGGGAGATAAACGTTGGCCTTGCCATTGACGCCACCCACTCCCTGTGAAAAATAAAGGAAACAAGTCCCAGTGACATGCACAGCCTGTGAAAGATTGAAAAAAGTCACTGTTTGTAATGTAGAAAACACAGCAGTAAATCTTCACTCAGCAAAACAGCAATGTGATAACGACCACGTAACCTGTGTTTTTGCAATGCTGATTGAGATTAAACAGAACACCAGAAATAATTCTCACGGAAGTGGTGCCATGGATCTTTAATATCCATACACGGGTACATGGGCCTCAGGACCACCTCATATGAGAGACAAAACATTCTAACGGTGCATTAGTCGCTTCCTCAGCTCTTATTGTCAGCCTTGATTTCTAAACTCAAGTGCTGTGGTGATACTTCAATCCAGAATCTTAAACAACTCATACAGTCGACACTGCAAATGTCGTGAAAATGAAACAGTGACACAAGTGTCTCGTTAGCGTGAGGTTATAGAATAACTGGTTAAAAAAACCCCACAATATAACACAGGGTTTCGCAAAGTAGGGGTAGGATGTGCAAGTAGGGTCAGGAGTTGACATTTTGGTGTTGTGATGTCTAAGGCAGTAACTGCTATCATTAAGCTCCGACTGGGTTATATCAGCTGATTTTCCTCTTCAACAGGCCCACTTGGTCACAGCAGTCTCCACCTCACTCTCACAGAGGGGTCAGAACAATTTTCAAGCTTCGAAATGGTATCACAGCCAGAGAATGTTTGGGAAGTAATGACCTAACTAAAATGAAATATAAAGTTTTCAAGAAGATTTGAAGCTCGGATTGTGGATGAGGTTGTAGACATGCTCACCGAGCTGGTGAGTTTGGATGCAAATGTTTCGTCACCCTGCTAGGTAACATCATCAGTGCACCTCCGGTAAAGCGTCGGCGTTCTGTCCTGCTTGTTATTTATATGCTTCGGTTTGCTATGCAGGATCTAATTCAATGTGTTTGTTGTTGGAGTTCCGGTTGGAATACCAGGCCTCCAGGAATGCCCTGGTGTGTCTCTGTTTGGTTCGTGCAATTATCGATGTGTTCTCCCAGTTGAATTCCTGTCCCTTGTTGTCTGTGTGTAGTGAGACAAGTGAGAATTGGTCGTGTCTCTTGGTGGCTATTTGGCGTTCATGCATCCATATTGTTAACTCCATCAAAAAACATATTGAATTAGACCCTGTGTACAAACCACTGAGAAACAGAACCGGAAGTAATGCCAACAACCCCAGCAAACCGAGGGATATAAATAACAAGCGGGACAGAACACCAACGCTTCACAGGAGGTGCACTGACGATGTTACCTAGCAGGGTGACGAAATGTTTGCAACCAAACCCAGTGGCTCGGCGAGCATGTCTACAACCTAAAATGAAATATGATTTATCGTTCAGGAGATAAGTTGTATATTGTAAGTATCTTAGGGGAACCGTTACCAAAACAAAAGTGCTGATACATGGGGCTGAACCCTGCAACACTGTAGGTGTTTAGCTGCAGACTGTTACAGTACAGCAATAAAGCTGTGCTTTAAGTCCCGCACTATAGGCATGAGCACATGCAATACTCAGGGAGTGCTACAGTGTCAGAAATCTGCCCTGGTTTCAGGTCTCTGTAAACAACTCCATGGCACACCATGTATAAGAGCAGCAGGGTTCGTCCTGGTGTGCAGGCCAATATCTATCCAATGCAATATATATTGGCATTCTGAAGAAGGATCACTGGAGCCGAAACGTTAACTCTGCTTTCTCTCCACAGATGCTGCCTGACCTGCAGAGTTTCTCCAGTAATTTCTGGCTTTGTTCCTGACTCCTAACATCCACAGTTCATTTGTTTTTTGGCATTACGTTCAACTAAACACCACACGTTACCTGGTCAATCTGTTTGCCTGACTGGGACCTTGTTGTGAATAAATGGGCTGTTGGTTACAAGGAGCTAGAGTCACTTCAGGAGCAGTAGAGGCTGAGGTTATTGAAGGTGCTATATAAATGCAGAATCTTTCCTGTGGGATTATAAAGGCAGATACACCTCTGTGTGGCTCAGTGAGATACTCCAGTTGAAGGGGGGGGGGGGGTCACCGTTTTACAACAAACTGTCCCCATGGTTTTTCTGTCCAATTCTACAAACTCCAGACCTGATCCATCCACCAACAACAACAACAACAATCCGACAGGGAGGGCGACTGACCGCCACTTTCATTCGTTATTCTTGTTTCAATTCCAAGTGAGGACGGGGAGGGGTGAACGATCACACTGGGGCCTCGGGCGGACTGATCGATCAGTAACACCGGGGGGAAGCCGCGCCCCTCACCGGCCCCGTGCCCCGAACCTTCTGGAAAAGGGTGGAACTACACAAGCGAGGCTCGGGGCGGAGGGGCCGGGGGGGACCGGTTTGGCTGCGACACTTCTTTTTCCGTTCCGGTACTGGGTGGAGGGAAGGGAGAGAGTAGCACAAGATGGAGGAAGAAACGGCCTGAGTTTGGAGATGGGCCTGGAGAAGGTTCTGGAAATGAGACGTCGGGATCGGTGAAAGTGAGCGGGAAGGTGCTCATCGAAAGCCTGGAGCTCCCACGGGCTCTCCGCGGCCAACTTTCTTTTTAATTTCTAACGAGTCTGTTTTGGCCCTACAGCTGCAGTCAGTATATGGTCTACCCCCCCACATTGAGAAACAGAGAGCCCTTACCCAGGGGGTAAATGAGGGGCAGGTTCACCTGGCCCAGGTGGGACTTGTACCTGGATCTCCTTTACCTGGGTTGCAAAACCGTGGATCTGAGCTAAGATAACAAGGTGTAGAGCTGGATGAACACAGCAGACCAAGCAGCATCAGAGGAGCAGGAAGGCTGACCTTTCCTGAAGAAGGGTCCAGACCCGAAACGTCAGCTTTCCTGCTCCTCGGCCTGCTGTGTTCATCCAGCTCTACATCTTGTTATCTCAGTTTCTCCAGCATCTGCAGTTCCTACTATCTCATGGCTCTGAACTTCTTATTTCTCCAACGCTGGACATTTTATATCACCATTTTCTAAGATTTTGTAGCTAAAGAAGCTGTACCTAGGTACCTTGCACCTAAGATGGTGCTGTAAGTGGTGACATATAAACTTTTTGCTGTACTCCATGAGTATATGTGACAATAAAGGCTAATTCTAATTCTCAGGGGTAACATGGCCAAACAGGTTGACTTTAAACAGGGATAACACAGTGTGGAGCTGGAGGAACACAGGCCAGGCAGCATCAGAGGAGCCGGAAAGTTGATGTTTCAGGTCAGGAACCTTCTCCAGAATTTCTGACCCGAAACGTCAGCTTTCCTGCTCCTCTGATGCCGCCTGGCCTGCTGTGTTCCTCCAGCTCCACACTGTTATCTCTGACTTCAGCATCTGCAGTTCTTACTATCTCTCATTTTAAACAGGGTTTGTTATAGTGTGGAGGTGCTAATGCCATTGGACAATTCACCCACAGTGTAGGCTCACAGTCTGGCGACCTGGTGTTGCACCCCACTATGGAAGATGGTCACTTTTGGAAAATAAAGAAGGGTTTTGTGCTACAGGGATAGTGTCACTGCTTCTGGACCCTAAGGTCTGAGTTCATGTCCCACCTGCCCCATGTCTGAACAGGTTGATTTAAACAGGATTTAATGTGGTGGAAATATAACTAGAGGTGTTTGTGGTGTGGTGGTAGTGTCCCTACCTCTAGGCCAGAAGATCTGGTTCAAGTCCCACCTGTCCCAGAGCTGTGTCATTGGCAGATTGGAACAGATTGTTTAAAATTCTAGTGTCCCTACTGTTGAACCAGAGGCACCTAGTTCAAGCACCTTGCTCCAGAACACGTCTGAATATGCTGATTAAAGTATCCAGCACGGAGGTGGTGGTATAATGATAATGTCACTGCCCTGGTTATCCACAACCCTAGACTCATATTCTGGGAATAATAGATGGTGAAGTTTGAAAAATAGAGGGTTTTGTGTTACAAGGATAGTGTCCCTGCCTCTGGGTCAAAAGGTCTGGGTTCAAGTCCCATCTTCCATAAGGTGTGTCTTAACTGGTTGTTCTAATTTTTTTTCCTCTGTCACCTGTTAAGGGTGCAGATTTTATTCTCCTGCAGTGAGTGTCAGACTTAATTGACTTTCGTATACTTTAAGCGATGCTCCCTTATTTTGACAGCGTCCCTTAATAGCTGCCTTCAGTCGCTTGTCTCCAGAATTGAACCTGCAAGTCTTAATCGAGTGTTTTGTGTCGGTCTGCGAGTCACCCAGCAGTGAGATGATAAAGTTAGCCCATAAGTTGTGAAATTTGCACCCATACCCTGCCATTGCTCTCACCAACAACCCTCCTCCCCTTTCTCCTCTTCTCCAGTAGAAATATGCCTTCCTATCATAAGAATTGGTCACCCTGCAGGGAGTTTTGTCTGATTCAAAACATTTTCATGGTTAACTTCAGTTTGGAATGTTCGCTTTTATGTCTTCTATCCCCATTTGTGCAAGTTCCTGATTTTGCTATTGTGTACTAACTGGAATGTTTACAACCAGTAACTTTGATGCTTTGAGAGTAAATTTGACATATAGAGACTTAAAGTATGTATTCTCCTTCCAATGTTGACGTAAGATTTTTAAAAGAGAAAAAAAGACACCTGCATTTGTATGGCATAATTTACAACTTCAGGATATCCCATTGCACTTCGCAGCAAATAAAGTACCTTTGAAATATACTCACTGTGATAGTCAATATATAAATCATTACAGACATTTGCACACTGCATACTCTGTCAAACAAAAATGTGGTAATGGCCAAACAACTGCTTTTTATGATGTTTGTTGAGAGTATTGGCTGATATTTGATCCTTAGATTTCCTGTTTGAAGAGTATTTCAGCATGTACATGCAAATATATTCTTAGTTATTTTGTGTTTTTTAGGAATGGACCAGGATGACAGTGAAGGCGAAGCTGAGCTCAGGAAGCAGTCAGTTGGTGGTTGGGGTTTACTGCAGATTGCCGGCTGCACAGGATTAACTGCATATGTAGTATGGGCAGGAATACTGATGCCTGGTTTCAGGAGGGTCCCTCTAAGATTACAGGTATGGAAATAACAACTTTCTACAAAGTGCTTTAGATGTACACTGCAGATCAGACAGCCTGACTTAAGGTAAGCATATAAAAATGAACGTGTAGTGAATTTCTCTGGTTAACCAGCAGCTAGTACTGTCAGCTTGATGATAATGTTCATATCAAGTGCCACATCATCTGTACTCCTCACACCTGTACTTCTAAGTTCCATTCATTATTTTGAATGCAAGATCAGTGTCGTCAGGAAAAAGGATCTAAACATAGCAGCACCACTTTTTCAATAGGTCCACAGCAAATCATAAAACTATTATTAGATTTTTTTTCAGATAAAGGACTTTAGGTCAGATCTCAGCTCCAATTACAGGATCAGAAGCAACGGGGTTTCAGGAAGATTAGGGTCAGAGATGGCAATGAGAGATCATGGAACTCACTAAAGAAGCCCTGCAATGTGGAAACAGGCTATTCGGCCCATTGAGTCCACACTGTATCCCACCCAGACCCAACCCCTAACCTATCCCTGTAACCCTGCATTTCCCATGGCTGATCCACCTAGCCTGCACATCCCTGGACAATATGGGCAATTTAGCATGGCTAATCTGCCTAACCCAGCACATCTTTAGACTGTAGGAGGAAACCAGAGCACCTGAAGGAAACACATGGAGACACAGGGACAACATGTAAACTCCACACAGACAGTCGCCCGGGATCGAACCTAGGCTGTGAGGCAGCAGTGCTAACCACAGAGTCACAAATAGGTTAATTTATCTCTTCTACATAATAAGTCACTAGGGTTTGGAATACCCTGCTGGGTGTGGTAGTGGGAACAAGAACATGAGTGTAGTTCCAACTTGATTGTTCTTTGAAAGAGAGAGCACAGGCTTGGTGGGACAAATGGCCTGCATCTGTGATGTATTATTCAATTACTCTCTCAGTTTCTCTCAAAAATCATGAACTGAGAATGTTGTCTATGATAACACAGTGTGGAGCTGGAGGAGCACAGCAGGCCAGGCAGCAACAGGAAAGTTGACTTTTCAGATCGGGAGCCTTCTTCAGAAATGGGGGAGGGTGAAGGGAGCTCTGAAATAAATAGAGGGAGGAGGGGCGGGGCTGGGGAAGGCAGATGGGACGGTGATGGGTGAGTGCAGGTAAGGAGTGGTGGGGATTGATCAGTAAGATGGGAAGGGCGGATAGGTGGGAGTGAAGATGGACAGGTTGTGTCTGGTCAAAGAGATGGGGATGAGAGGGAGGGTTGGTCATGGGATGAGGCCAGAGGTGGGAAGATTTGAAACTGGTAAAGTCCACATTGAGACCATTGGGTCGTAGGCTCCCAAGGTGTTCTTACCATCTCTGAGGATGTTGTCTGTAAGTCTGACATAATTTATATTGATATTTATATTGATTTATATATAATGAAGGACATTTCTGATGTTGCTGAAAGGAAAAAACATGCTGTTGAAGCTTTTCTTGCACTGTTCAGGACAGAATCACAGGAATATCAAATCTCAAAGGGAGCAGCAATTCATTCTGCATGAGAAGAGCTTTGTTTTGGCAAGTGTCCTTTGACACTTAGACCTGTTGCCATGGTAAATGCACCATGGAGCACTTAACAGCCAAACCTTTAAATTCAAACCGGGCAAGTTAACTCTGATTGGTCAGGGAATTGCCATGAGGGGTGCAGCAGAGAATGAATTCACCGAAGCTTTGTTTTGTTGAAATATCACAATGTTTGGCATGTTTTGCAAAAGACCGGCCCTGTGTGTGAATATACGTAGTCCCTAGAATGCACAGATGAGCCACACTGCAAGACCAAATTTATAATCTCAAATTGGTTGTTACTGTAATTTTTTGCACAGACATGATTGCTCAGCAAGTGTTATCCAATCACCGAATCATATTTAATGTTGGACACTGCATTCTGAGTTTTGTGGCCACACACTGGTTGAGTACAGTCTGCACCCAGTCTCATGAAGCTCTATTTGATGTGATCTACCAATTGTTGGGACATTAATGAAGGAGAATTCAAATCGCTCCTGATTGGACGGCAACAATGATCTGGAATCATTATTAGCTCGAAAAATGGAGGTTATTGCACTCATTACACTGCTGAATTTGTAACAACAACTGTAACAGGAAAATAATGTTCTATCAGGTCTTTAGAATTAGTTTGGGTAAGTGAATTGTGAATTCTATGTTTCTCTTTTTTGAGGAAAGTCAGCTGTACACAATAAAGAGGTGAATGTCTTTTACCAGGTACCCTACATACCTGCAAGCCGCAAGCAGGTGCAAAATGTGATGACTTTACTGGAAGGCCGGTCTGGCAAAGTGGTGGACTTGGGATCAGGTGACGGCAGAATTGTACGTAAATAGTTGGACTGAAAGGCAATGTATTCTGCAAACAGAAATGTGAACAACTGCTAAAATTTAACTTGGTTCTCAGTGCTTACTTAAGCCCAATGTTATAAAAAATATTGATTAAAAACCCTAATAATTGTTCTCGTTTAGTGGAAGCTGCTTAACTATCTCCAGTTGTCTGAAGAGCTAGTTTGCCTCCAGAGCAATGCCAACAGCGTGGGTTCAATTCCTGCACCAGCTGATGTTGCCACGAAGGTCCCTCCTTCTCAACCTCTTCCGTCACCAAAAACATGGTGACCCTCAGGTTAAACCACCACCAGCCATACCTCTGTAATGAAGGCATAGCCCTATGGTCCTCTGGGACAATGGAAGTTTTACTTTACCTTCATCTTCTCCTTCCTCACTTAGAAGACAAACCTATCAACTGCTTTCCCATTGCGATGATATGATAGTTAATAGTATTTGTAGGGAGAAGGCATAAGTGAAGTACAAACACTGGCATAGTCCAGTTGGGCTGAATGATCTGTTTCTATGTTGACAATTCAATGTAAGGTACAAAGTAAAATAGTTGCAGTTGTGCAGATTTGGACTGAAAGAAGTACTTCTTTCTCACTGTTGCATTACCACCATTCATTTGTCGTTTTCAAAGTCGTACAAACCAGGCTCCTCTTCATGATATTAAGGAGCAGAGTTCCTGTTGCTTTGCAGGTGTTAGAAGCCAGTAGACATGGCTTCCATCCAGCAGTTGGCTATGAATTAAATCCATGGCTCATCAGGCTGTCAAAGTTCTACGCTTGGAGAGCTGGTTGTTATGGCCAGGTTTCTTACATGAAACAAGATTTGTGGAAGGTAGGAAAACCTTAGTTTTGAGTTAATGTATAAAGTCAGGGTAAAAGCTTCATCATTAGATATTAATGGGTGTTACTCATAAGCTTTCTCAATCTCAAATGTTCCTTTTGAAAAATTATGTCCATTAAAAATCACATCTAAATGCTAATTCTTTTTGGCAGCCAGATTCCAACAAAATATAGACTTCTACAAGCATGTACATGATTCGTACAAACCGATAATTAATCACTATTTTCCGGCCTTAGGAATGCAAATAAAGCTTTATGTGGTTAGTCTCTATTTCAGTTCTCCTTAGCTAATGTCACAGTGGTTCAGAAATGATTTCATGCATCAAAGGGTTATGTTCTTCATTTAAAAAGAACAACTAACGATAAGCAGACCCCTCGTGAGAGGAAGTAATAACATAGTGCAAATGTTTTTGCAAGAAATAATGTTGTAACTTTATCCTGGGAAAATTTCTGGTCTGAAACTATGTAAAAATTGTATAGATCAAGTTAAGATTGTCAATTGAAAGTTATTGTCCAGAATTTGAACAAAGTTGGCCCATTAAAGGTAAAAGCAAAGAGCAGTTCAGTTGCATGATAGACCAATATTTTAGTGCAGAGTCTGACATAGATTTCCATTCACACTTCCTGCACAGCAAGCTATCAAGCTCAGATAAGCGGTGAAGAGAATGTGTTATATAAAACATGACATAACAACATGGGGCAGGCTATTCGGCTCTTCGAGCCTATTCCACCATTCAATATGATCATGGCTGAACATCTGACTCAGTACCCTGTTTCCACTTTCTCTCCATATTCTTTGATCCCTTTAGTCCTAAGAACTATATCTAACTCATTGAAAACATTCAATGTTTTGGCCTCAACCATTTTTGGTGGCAGAGAATTCCACAGGCTCTCCACTCTTCTGAGTGAAGAAATTTCTCCACATCTCAGTCCTAAATGGCCTACCCCATATCCTTAGACTGTGACCCCTAGTTCTAGGTGTGTTACGACAACAAATTGCATTATGAAACAACTTTGTCATAATGAAGCATCCCAGAGTGATTCATGGGAGCAGCCAGGAAATAAGGACAGGGGTTAGCCATTCAGTCTTTTGAGCCCAAAGCCAGTCTTTTACACATTCTGGTCGTTGAGCAAAATTGTCAAGGGCCTGGAACAGAACTTGTTCATCTTGTTAATTGTAGAATGTTGCTGAGGGGACTTTGGGAGATTGGAAAATTACAGGCAAAGAACAGACTATCAGAAACCAAAACCTCATGAAGAGAATTGTTGCATAAGTTCTTATACAATGATGTAAAATCTGTGCATGGTGTCTATGTCGATTAGGAGCTGCACAAATGTGATTCTCTGAAATGGACTGGTGAAATATTCATGAAATAAATTTGTTTTTTGTTATTTTAGGTTGATTTGTCAGACTGTTCAAATGTCACGGTTTTCTTAGCTCCTAGTGTGGTAAGTAGTAGGTGATTCTTTTCACTCTCTTTATCCCTCATATCTCTCTCTTATTAATTCATACGCCTGGCTTATCAGTGTATTCTCGGTAATTTTACACTTATTGTTCTCTGTTTGCTTGCAAACTCCAAATAATATTGTGTTATATTGTTTGATTTCATATGCTAAGTACTTCTTTGTGTTCACTTGGGTCATGCCCGAAGCAGACCCATTGTCTCAAATGATCCAGTGTACAACTTTATTTGGCTAATATAAAGGTAAATAACCAAGGTTTGAACAGAAAACACTTTTCACTGCTCTCTGGATTTTCACTCGGACTTTCACGTCTGGAATTGGTGTGGTTTCATTTTTCACCAGTACCTGGGAGAATAGCAACCTTCATAAAAATGAAGCGAGATTAAGAAATAATGAGATGTTGATACATGCAAGTAAGCCCCTTGCTGCTCTCTAGCTAGATCCTCATCTAAACCATTAAAACATTAAGGAGAAAATCTGACATTTTTCCTGACATCCAATTTCTCAATTTTTCATTCTCATTGTAAGTGTTCAATTTTCTCACCATTACCCATATTGTTCAGACACTGGAAAGATTTTGCCTCTTGTCTTTGATAGACAGAAGAATAACACCTCATCGGATCCTATGAAGCATTAAGACAACTTTATTCAACATCAAAAGTAAAATAAAGAACTGTGATGCTGGTAATCTGAAGCAGATGCTGGTAATCTGAAAATCTCAGCAGGTCTGGCAGCATCTGTGGAGAGAAAACAGAGGCAGCATTTTTGGGTCCTGTGACCCTTCATAGAACAAAGATGTTGCCAAACCTGCTGAGTTTCTCCAGCAATTTCTGTGTTTATTGAACATAGTATTGGCTAACAAACTGTTTCGAGCAGTGTACGTTTTATAGCAAATGCAGTCTATACTAGACCCCTTGGAATCAAAAGGGGAAAACCATTTCCAAAGCGTGTTCAAAATAAAACTGGCCTTTGCCACACTTGGATAAATTTTACCAGAAATCAGCTGTAACATTTTGTCAGGTTTCATGGAGGATTTCTCTCACAAGGTCGAGTTTTCTCACACAATCATCCAAAACCCCCTCTCATCTGATTTTCTGAATGTTAGTTTAATTTTTTGAAGTGAGTGGTTGTGTAAAGAGGGAGATGATGTAATTCAGGCTATGGAATGTCATTGTAATAATTCTCACCATACATTGCTCATCCCTATGGTTGGGCATACACTGTGGACACTAGAAATACCATAACACTAAGTTATTTGATCCTCCAATGAATTAGTCAATCAAAGACATTAAAACACACTTCTTTCTATGCAGCTTTCTTTACTAGAAGTCAAGTTGTTAAATGAACTTCCGGAAGATGCCTGGATTGTTGCTGGTCGATTCCCTTTCCCAAATTGGAAACCTTGCTGCACTATTGGGGATGGGGTGGACAAAGCCTGGCGTTATAGTATCAAGCAACTACGAAAAGAAAATGTTTCCCAGAACACGCATGAAGGAACAGCAGTAGAACATCCATTGACAAATCAATAGTTGCAAAAAGGCAACTTTCAAGAGGAGACAGTTCAATTTTTTTTATTTTAAGCTGCAATCCATGGATTTTTTGAAAATAACTTACAAGAGATCTTTATTTGAAAGCCAAAGGATCCTTTATAATAAATTAAGCAATCATCTATGATTATTTTTCAATCAATGTTGCAACTTGAGAATGTGCATCTTTTAATAATGGGAACTTGTTGCTTTACTAATTAAGAGAGGGGTAAGCAATCTGCTCTTGATTAGAAGAGGAATTTCACACCTTAATAAAACATGGGAAATTTTAGAATGAGGTTTTCAGGCAGATCACACTTTCAAAAATGCTCCCACTGTCATAATGTGTCACTGCTATGCTAAGCAGTGGAGTGCAAGGTTGTCCCTCTTCACAACTTCCAACATAAATCAAATTATACAGTTAGTTTGAGAGAAGCAGCGAGCCACTCCTCATGCTGGCATCTATTTAGAGCATAACTTTTTGGGGCTTATGAACATGTGTCTGGCTGTCCTCCGGCTGGTGATTGTTTTGAGCTCATTTGAGACCATTATCCTTTAAAAATATGTGAATTTTCCACCGACCAATGCAAGTGATTTCATAAAATGATGTAACATTTTAAACTTTTTACTGCAACAAGCAAATTAAATTCACCATTGACTAAACATTATTTTGTAGGCATCTAATGCACTAACGTATAGAAAAGATGTTCCCTATTAGGTTCCTAACAACCTAAAAACTCAGGCCTGTGTTATCCCACACTCTGAGCAGAAATGAAGTCTCTGAGTTCCTCCAGGCTTTAACAGGAACTCTTCTCCCTGCTCCACCAAGGTGAATCCTATTAGATCCAATAAGAGTCACAGAGATGTACAGCTTGGTCCAACTCGTCCATGCTGATTAGGTATCTTAAACCAGTTCCGTTTGCTAGAAAACAAGGTGCAGAGCTGGACAAACACAGCAGGCCAAGCAGCGTCATAGGAGCAGAAAGGCTGACGTTTCGGGCCTAGACCCTTCATCAGAAAAAATCCGTTTGCTAGCATTTGGCCCATTTCCCTCTAAACCCTTCCTATACATGTACTCACCCAGATGCCTTTTAAGTGTTGTAATTGTACTAGCCTCCACCACTTCCTCTGGCAGCTCATTTCATACACACACCACTCTCTGTGTGAAAAAGTTGCCCTGTAGGTCCCTTTTATATCTTTCCCCTCTCACCTTAAACCTATGCCCTCCAGTTTTGGACTCCACTACCCTGGGAAAAAAGCCTTGGCTATTCACCCTATCCAAGCCAGTCATGATTTTTTTAAACCTCTATAAAGTCACCCCTCAACCACCAACATGGCAAGGAAAATAGCCCCAGCCTATTCAGCCTCTGCCTATAGCTCAAACCCTCCAATCTGGCAACATCCTTGTAAATCTTTTCTGCACCCTTTCAGGTTTAACAACATCTTTCCTATAGCAGGGAAACCAGAATTGTATTCCAAAAGTGACCTAAGCAATGTCTTGTACAGCCACAACGTGACTTCTATACTCACTGACCAGTATAGGCAAGTGTACCAAACACCTTCTTCACTACCCTTTCTATCTGTGACTCTACCTTCAAGGAACTATGAACCTGCACCCCAAGATCTCTTTGTTTGGCAATACTCCCCAAGACCCTACCATTAAATGTATAGGTCCTTCCCTGATTTGCCTTAGCAAAATGCAACACCACATTTATCCACATTAAACTTCATTTGCCACTCCTTGGCCCATCTGATCAAAGTCCCGTTGTATTCTTGTGAGAGCCTTCTTCACTACATCACCAATTTTGACATCATCTGCAAACTTACTAACTATGCCTCCAAAATTCATAGCCAAATCAGTTTTATTAATGACAAAAAGCAGCGGACCCAGTACTGATCCTTGTTGCTCATCGCTGGCCACAGGCTTCCAGTCCAAGCACTTGCTATTTTTCAGTTACAATTTCAGTTTTTGCAGCTCAACAAGTGGGAGATGGAATTCTTCATCCCAGCCAGGTTATTTTGAAATAAATGTTTAATAAACCATCATGGAATGAAAGGCTATGCAATGAACAGAAACAAACTCGACAATGTGGAAAGCCGTGGGACAATTCACATAAATATGAAAAAAGTTTGTTCAAAAGTTTTTGTTCAATTTAACATTTATTACAGTCCTACTACAACAACTTCAAAAAAGCTTAACTACAGTTGTTGTATTTTATTGGTAAATAATTTATATTGTAATTTATTCCACAGACCCCAAAGTTCTTCATATTTGAAGAGCATTGCCAAGAGTTTCGTTGCTGGATTTCACCAGTCAATATATTCAACAATGTCTCTGGACCGATAGCCTAAATGGTTAAAAGTGATTGTTTATTCACGTTTCTCTGCCATTTGTGCCAAAGCAGGGGAATGGTGGCAAGTTTTAGTCGCAATAGATTTTGTTTTACAGAAAGGCTTATTTATAATGGCACATGAGCAGAAAGAATATGGGTTAACTATGCAGTACATATTTACAACATCTCTTCGGATACTCCAGGTTGGTGTAAGGATCCCTGGTGTTCCTGTAGACAACTGATCCTCCAGTCTGAACAGCATCAAATGACTTGAGTATTTAAACATAAAATTGTTATAAACTGTTCCTGTGGCTACGTAAATATAACTAAGATGTACTAGACAGAGAAATCAGGTTGAGATACAAGATGAGGCTTACGTCTGCAGAACTAGACAAAACCAGTTTGTACCATCTCTTCGAAAGTTGAGAATAGCACACTTCTATAGATACAGACATTTTCTAATCAACCTTTATTTAATGATGTTATTAAAGACCCTTGGAGTAGGTGGGAATTGAACCAAGCCTCCTGGCTCCGACATAGGAATACTACCACTGCACCACAAGATCCCTCCAACTATGGCTACATCCTGTGACCAAAAGTACCTGCGATATGGAATGGATATGAATATCAGTGGGATGCAGGCAGGATTGAAGACACAATAGGCTGCATTTTATGCTCCCCTGCTGGCAGATTTAAAGGCAGGAGGACATATTCCTCTGTCTACTATTTGTTCTCAACCTGTCTGCATTTTTACTGAAGCAGGGCAGGCTTCAGATAGCCCTTGGACTTTATTGGGCCTTAAACTTGCCCATCAACAGCCAAATAAGGGCCCCATTTTGTTCCTAATAGTATTTCACACAAAGAGAGAGTTGGCTTACTCACTGTCGAAGGCCCAGCATCTTTAGCTACACCGGCTAGCATCAGGAAAGAGATAGGACAGCCTCCTTTTCAGGTGCCTGGGCTGATAGGAGGGACCTAACAGAGGTTATCCCTGTTTAACCCTCTGATTGGTCTCTCAAACCCAGCACCCTCCCAACAAGAACACACGGACACACACACACCCTCCCCAATATCTGCTGGGATTACAAAGAGTCTGGTGGGATGACCTGTAATCCCAGCAGTGGCAACCACTCCTGGCTGGTGCTACTGAGACTATAGAGCTGCAGCCATCCAACTGGACAGCAACACTCTCAGGTAGGACTTCCTTCTGAGACCACGGAGGAGGTCTTAAAGCAATGACATTGCTCCCATTATTAAGTAGCATCTTAATTGTGGGCAGATTCCCCTAAATTTCAGCCGGGGAGGATTGGGAAGTGGGCAGGGATTCGCCAACTTCCGTGTAAGATTCAGGCATTTGGCTCAATCTCAGGATGTCCAAGGTTCCACCAGGCTGACTTCAGTCATGTAATGTAGATATACAGCATTTGCCTGTTCACTATAATTAAAGTATTAATGAGATAAAACATAAGCTCGTATTCCTAAGTATTGTAATTAGTGTGCTAGTCTGTCCGGTTTATTATAATTTTTAGAATGGCTGTAATCAGACAACCTATGTCAGTGCTATTACATTTCATTGGATGCGGGCACCCAGAATGACATATATATTTTAAAACCGAATTAATGTAGAATGAAGGGCAGCATGGTGGCACAGTGTTTAGCAGTGCTACCACCCAGTGCAAGGGACCTGGGTTCAAATCCAGCCTTGGGCAACTGTCTGTTTGGAGTTTACCCATTCTCCCCCTGTCTGTATGTGTTTCCTCCCACAGTCCTAAGATGTGCAGGTTAGGTGGATTGGCCATGATAAATTGTCCAGTGTCCAGGGATGTGCAGACTAGGAGGACTAGCTATGGGAAATGCAGGGTTACAGGGATAGAGTAGTGGGGTAGGCCTGGATGGGATGCTCTTTGGGGGATTGGTGTGGACTGAATGGGCCAAATGGCCTGCTTCTACACTATAGATATCCTGTGTAAGATACAAAAGTAAGGCATTCAGCCCATGTAGTCCACATAACAATTATGTCCCACTCAAACCTTTTCTTATCTACTGCACCAATTTTTCTCATTATTTTCACAATTAAGCAATGTCTTCACCAAACATTTTTGGGTTCTCAAAACAAGGAAGTAGGAAATATTTTTTAGAAAGAGAAAACATTCTTGCTTTAGTGTTACTGCAGTGACAAGTGGATAGCCGAGATCGATTAAAGGAGAAGGATGTTACATCAAATGGGAGCTCTGAGGGAGGGGACCGTAAATCATTGAATATCTCTGAGTAGAAGATTTACTGCAAGTCTGCTAAAATACATAATATTTTTGATGGTGGCAAGACAGGTGGAAAGGACAATGTACCATAAATCAACATTTCCTTGCCATTTCTAGTTGAGAGAGATAATGATTTAACCAGGGGAGTTAAAATGTATACGAAAAGTGCAAGGTTATTACATATTGCAAAGGTGGCAAGGGTACAAATGACAAATCTCCAGTTGGTCTTTCATTAAAAGGCCCGAGAATAGAAACAGCTCCCCTAGAACTCTTGTGGTGAAGTGAGAGTTGTCCTTCCTCTTGATCAAGATATGAATTTTCTAATCAACCTGTTCAGAAATGTTATGACACACTTCTGGAGCAGGTCGGACTTGAATCTTGGCCTTTTGGCTTAGAAGTAAGGATGGTACCAATATGTCACAAGAGCCTCCACAGCATGCCTAAACAGGTTGATTAAATGTGCCCAGAAGTAGTTTCACCATACAATTGGAAGGAATTCCTTGTTTAACCCTAGTCTGAGTTAAGGGGAGAGTTAATAGTTCTCCATTAAACAATTCGGCTGCATAATGACATAATTAACAAACCTCTATGATGCAGTGATAGCATCCCTACCTCTGGGCCAGGAGAGCTGTGTTCAACTTCCACCTGTTCCAAAGGTGTGCAATAATAGGTCACAAGAGGTTGACTAAAATTATCTCCATGAAATTCACTGATTGGAAAAGGAAACATACAAAGACAGCTGGAAGGCAGCATGAAAACATTCTAAATTGACCAATTAAACATGTTAAATTGTAAAATTTGGTATGAATTGTGCTACATAAACCAATTTTCCAAACGTCTACAATTTTCAGTGATTAAAATTTATCAGAGTTTCCTGTTCAATTGGCTAAGGAAATTTTCTGCACATTATAACATCCAAGTGTTTGAAAATAATCGTCTTGGGCCTGGGCAATTCATCTCGAAGTAGGGAACAAGGGATTAAATTTGGTTGGCTTTAATGTTTCTGCAGTTGGGAGAAAAACTCAGAATGACGTCTAATATAATTGCATTTACGCAATGAGAATCTGATCTGATAATGTGCTTCAGTCAGAAATGATTTAATGAGGAAATATATATATATACATACAAACACAGACAATAATAATAATGAATGTAGAAATTTGAGAAAGAATGCTGATTTTAATTTTAGAATAGTTTAGTTTCTAGATACCTGGGGTTGAATGCAGGTCTCCAATGAATCTGTTGAGTAGGATTCAAGTATACGGGGATAATTACAGAGAGCTAGCCTTTCACAGTTAATGTCAAATTCGTGGAAAGTGGGAATTTTCTCTCCAAAAAGATGCTGAAGCTGGAGATCAACTAGAAATTTCAAATCAGAGATTGGTAAGACATTTGTTAGGCAGGATATTAATGATTATGAAATCAAGGCAGGTATGCAGAAGTTCAGATCAGCTGGATATGAAGAGCTGAATTGCTTTCTCCTGTTCCCATGTATATGGTCTAGTTTGTGAACAAGCCTACTTGCACATGGTGGAACACAGTCTCATTCTGTGTGGCAGACCATAAATAATACGAGTACCTTTTATTGCTGTTGCACAGTGTCAGTAAAAATGCTATGTTATTTTACTAATCACAACATTCATTTCCCAATAACTGCTCAGAAAATTCTTGGTGACTTCAGGGGTGACTTCCACTTCAGGGTTGAGGATCCTGTGCAATTACCAAGGAAGTTACTGATGGATAACATCAGCACTGACTGCTCTTGGTACTTCAGTTCCAACCAATTTTCGGAGGCGTGTAATTTCCTGCTTGTACCTGCATTATTTAACAAAATGGTGATTAAATTTTGAAAACCCTGCATTTATATAGCACCTTTCACAAAGACTGGACGAGTGCAGATACCTTGATTAACCTTGGGGCCAGGGGGCCAAGTCAGAAGCTTATTCGAAGTTCTGTATGAGTTTGAACATCCAGACACCATAGGAAGAAGCACCTTGGCTTCCTGGGCAGAATTACAGACTGTAGGAGTCAGAGAGATTAAAGTATTTGGGGGATGAGGGAGGGAGTGGAGGAATTAGACCCACAACAGGTTCTGCTATATCAGCAGAAGAAAAGGATTGCTTTTGTGTTACCTAACAAGTGGAGGCCTGTTTAGAACAGAATCTACACTCAAGGAAACAAGGATTGTGAAAAGTTAGAGACCACAGAATCAAGACAGGGAATCTTACAATGCGGAGTCTATATTATTAAGCTCAAAGGGTTCAGTGAAGACGTGGTTGAGAAACACATAGGTAGACTCACCTTGGTGAGTTAATGCCTGCTAATGCCTGGAGGAGATGCACTTTAAGCTTAAGACTACATGACTACAGAGTGCAGAATAATGTCTAAGCATGGTATGGGGTTTCCATTGTGTTCAGAAGTTAAAGGAGGGCTATCTGTCTGTACTGTAGTTCTGTGTATTTGTCGCCTACAAAGTAATGTTTAATTGATGTTGACTTTAGGTGCTTAAAACTCAAAGTCTTAAAACTCAAAACTTTGTGTAATTCTTTGTGTAGGTCATTGGGAAATCAACATCTCTATTTAAAAGTTATTGGTCTCTACATACCAGTGTGAATGCAGCAAACCGCTGCTAATCCACCAATTTACAGCATTTATTGTGCAAAATTGACAATATATTTAATTCTTTAAGACGCTATTTTAAGAAAGTAAAGTGTGAATTTCCCTAACCAATAGTTTCTTGACCTCACCAATCTGTAATTCCCTGGTCTATCTCTACCACCCTTCTGAAACAGTGGAACTGCATTAGCTGTCCTCCAGTCCTCTGGCACCTCCACTATGACCAGAGAGGAATTTAAAAAATTGGGTCAGATGCCCTGTAATTTCCTCTCTTACCTCCCAAATTAGTACTTATATACATTTAATTGCCTAGGACAAATAAACTTTTCTACTGTGATCAGAGACTCACCAGTGGTTGATGAATGGACATTAAGAGTAGCTACATAGAAAAGTCTTTGTTGGTGACAAGTAAATTGGCATCAGTCAGAGGCTGGCTTTAAAACATAGATGAGAGATGTGCAGGCCCTAATTCAAATGAAAGTCTGAATTTTGTGCTGCCTGACCTCACCTGCCCAGGTGCTTATCCACATATTCCTGCAGTTCAGCCAATTGCTCCTCAGCAACTGTGACACGTGAGATCAACTGAGCACGTTCATGTTCCAACTCCTCCTGTGGGTAAAAGCCAGTATTAATAGATTAACAGCTCCCAATCTCTTGACTATCTACCTGGCACACATGAAGCCGTTCATTTTGTTACTTAGTGCCATTTAGAAGTTCAGGTGTGCTGTACTACAAGGCCTCCCAAAGTCGCTTCGGGAAAGGAGGTGCTGGTGAAGTGATAATGTTACTAGACTAGTAACTAAAAGTCTGGAAGGGCTCTTGTAGCACAGTGGCAATGTCCCTACCTCTGAGGCAGGAGACCTGGCTTCAAGTCCCACCTGCTCCAGAAGCGTGTGAAAACATCTGGACAAGTTGATTCAAAATATCGTGTCCATTCAGGAAGGGCCGCTGTGGCACAATATCCCTAAATCTGGGTCAGGAAGCCTGTGTTCAAGCCCTAACTGCTCTAGAAGTGTCTAACAACATCTCTGAACAGGTTGAAGAGAAAGTATATCTGAAGCTCAGAAGGGGCATTGACCAGTGTGAATGTTACTGAACTGGTCAATGATTGTGTTGATAGAAATCAAATAATCCATTCAGGAAGGCCTCTTGTGGCAGTGATAGTGTGCCTACCTCTGAGCCAGGAGGCCTAGATTCAAGTCTCAAATCAAGGTTGGCTAGGTAGAATCTTGTGAATGTATGTTAGCTTGGTTATCATGGTCAGGTATGCCTCAGGGTTTCTGTGTACAACTAATTGCATTATTTACAATGTATCGACTGATGGTTCTACAGTTGCCCATGTGTATACTACTTTCTTGTTTTGATAAATGCAATACACTTGCCCGTATGTTTTTACTTTCCAGCAACTGTGACTTCATGGTCATCAATGCCTCAGAAATTTCCTCCCTTGTCTTATTCATCATTGAGACAGATACAGTCTATTCATGATTTGTTTAAAGTCCTTTTAAGATGTCTCGGATTTCTATCTCCATTGATTTTATTTTATCTCTGTCTGAGAAGGACATGTTGTCTTCCATTATGGGTAGTAGTCATTTAGAAAATGAGTTCATCTTCCATTTTCACTTCATCTTTTTCATGGGATGTGGGTGTCACTGTCTAGTGTCAGCTTTGATCACCCATTCTGAACTGGCCAGAGGGCAGTGAGAGTCAGCCACATTGCTGTGGATCTGGAGTCACATGCAGGTTAGATCACGTAAGGCAGATTTGTTTGTCTGAAGGTTCACCATTAAAGTTATCTTTTTAATTCCAGATTGGTACTGAATTCAAATTTCTCTATATACAATGGTGGGATTTAAACCCCTGACCCCATAATATTAGTCAGGGATTCTTGTTAACTAGTCCAGTGACATTACAACTACACTACCACCTCACTATCTGTTGACCCTGCCCTATTAGAGTTCAGGAAAATGCTGTCATTTAGCCTTGTTGCTATTCTTCACGACCTCCTTCCCCCAAACTTCAGAACAGTTGGGACTTGAACCTGGGCTTTCTGGTCTAGAGGTAGGGACATTACCACTGCACTACAAAAGCCCCTGACCCCTTTAGTTTTATGATAGGCCTATAATCTAAACAACTTGGGTTCTCTCAGTTTCTCCCCATTGAAATAACTTTTCAATTCTCTCGTACTCTTCCCATCTCTTCATAGATACATTTGTTCCCCTTCTTACTCTAATCTCCATTTCTCCTGAACCTTTCTAGTATTTTGGCAGGTGTCCCAGGGTGTAAATGCCTACATTAAGTGCTTGCAGAGTTTGTCCCTTTCCACGGAATCAGCAGTTCACTTCCCCTCTATCCCATCAGGGAGCAGCTTGTGGAGCTGATGGTAGCAGTGGGTGGGAGGAGGAGTCGCAGCCTCTGATTGACTGGCAGCTCTTGGCAGGTGCGGCCTTTTGTCCATATTTGTTCAGGGCACCTGGGTCGGCATTTATTGCCCTGTCCTTAAATGTCCTCCAGCCATCCACTGCGTCTTGTACCACTCAGGCCCTGGACAAGCCAATGATGGGCCATCGCCAGGAGGCAAGGAACCTGGTGCCTGTGGAGAGCTGCCAGCTAATTAGAGGCTAACAGTGCCACTGGGGAGGGTTAGTGCCACTGCCAATACTACACCTGAGATCGAGGAGGGATTGGAGTTTAAAGGTAGGAAGGAGGTTGTAATGTGTGGGAGTCACCGGGATTGGTAACAAGGGAAGGGGCTTGTTCTCAGCAGACCAACCCTTCCCTGAAGCTGACTCAGGCTCTCTACTATTGAACAAGGGACTATCCCCACTGCAAGCCCATGACCCCATGCCCACAAGCTAATCTGTCGTGGTTAGCTTTGCAGGGATTCCTGCATTTCTGATCAGTCGTCCACACCATCCCAGCTCAATATCAGCAGCAGCAGGACGAGCAACTGAAATGAACATTAATCACCTTCCTAATACAGATTTGAGTGGGATGGAGGCCAGCAAGTGCTGGCTTCCCACCTTCCACATTCCCGCCTGATTAAATGCCCGCATGATCAAACTTACCACAGGGAAAAGCACAAGATTCCACTGCCACTTCAGTTATGTCTTTTTTGTACCCATGCAACTTAACATCGTACTTCCATCTTCAAGAGGCTTGAAGGTTGGTGCAAGTCTTGATTATGCTTGATCTTTTGAAATCTTTTCAGTACTTACATTATGGCTTTGCATGATATTAATCTTCAGATTAAATTACAATCTTCAAATTAAATTCAAATTAAATTTCCTTGGAACCATGTTGGATACACCCATATTCTTAGTGTCAAGTAGGATTAAAATGTGTAGATTGTGAGAGCAGATCATTTTAGATAGGCCCCACTATAGCACTTATAACAATTAGCAACAACAACGTTAGTCATAAGGACATACAAACAAGGTAAATCAGGGCTATTAAGTCCCTTGAAGCTGGTTTACCATCTAATAAGACTATGCTCTGATTGGGACCATAAATCCACAGTCTGACCTCCCCTGATAACTGACTCCCTTCTCAATCAAGAATCTGTCTGCTTGTCTAGTCTTGGCTGGAGAAGGTTAAAGGACAAACTGAGGCAAAGAGAATCAAATATCGACAAGAATTCATTTGAACTCCCATTTTACAAGGACCCTCTCTCCACCATTCTCTGAGTAAGAGAATTCCAAAGACTGAAGACCCTCTGTGAGAAAAGAAATTCTCCTCATATCCATCTTAAATGGAAGTCCCCTTATTTTTTAAACTATAACTGCAGTTCTAGTCCCTCCCACAAGAGGAAACATCCAGTATCCACTCAGTCAAGTCCCCTCAGGATTTTATTTATTTCAATAAGACCATCTCTCATACTTCTAAGCACAACCAGTTCAACCATTTCTTATAAGATGTCCCTAACAACCTTAAATCCCTTAAAACAGTTGAGTGAGCTTTCTCTGAACTGTTTGTAATGCACTTTTCTGTGGTAAGGGGTCAAGTCAACACAGACAATTGGTTAGTTGCATTTTCAATCTAGGAGGAGCCTGATTCAAATTGCAATATAACATGGGTTTGATCAAATTCTATAATCAGTAATATTACAGACCTGTGTAGTAAATGTGAACTCTTTTAGCTGTTTCCTTAGTTCACTCCAGTTTTCACTACTTGCTTTCTCACCAGTCTCCAGGCTGAAATAATTAAAAGCAGTAATTTAGGTCTCCTCATTTCAGCAATTTGGTGGTATAGAATTTAAGTATTTGACACCTTTTGTCAAAATCTTTTGTCTTGAGCTCATCAGGACATTTTGCTAGAATACAAATTCAAAAGAAAGATTAACATTTATACAAATGAGAGGAGGGTGCTCATTGGTTGGCATTTCTTAGAATAAAATACCTATAGGTGGAAACAGGCCATTCGGCCCAACACATCCACACCGACTCTCCAAAGAGCATCCTACATAGACCCAATTCCCTATCCTATCCCTGTAACCCTGCATTTCCCATGGCTAATGCACCTAACCTATGCATCCCTGGGTAATTTAGCATGGCTAATCCACCTAACCTGCGCATCTTTGGACTTTGACTAGTCAAGGTATTATCATGAAGAATTTAACCAGCAATTGTGTCACAGTTTTTGTGGAGTCAAACAGGTGCACTGTGTGTACACATTCTTTCTGTCAGCAAAGAACAGGCTCTCAACAAAATGGGTGACATCCATTGATAGTTAATTTCTCAAGGTTTTGCCCTGACCAATCAAGAGACAACCTGCCTGGTTTAAAATGTAATAAAGACATGTTAAAATGTCTGTTAACTGTCAATCGGCATTCTCCGTGGCAATCAGAATTGACATGCCAACCAATCAGCACCCTCCTCTCTTGCAGTTTTCACCTTGAATTGATATCCTTGCAAAATGTCCTGATGAGTGCAACATCAAAAACTTCAACAAAATATTGACAAGTTTTTCAGCAATACTCGAGCTTCTGATTTTATTATTCAGAATACAATCACAGAAAAGGGAGAAGTTTCTCAACTAGAAAAAATTCTAAATCCAATGGTACTATCCTGCCTTTATCCCACCACATTGGATCTTCCTCTGTTTTGAGTTTTGACCTACTCATCCTTTCAGTAATGCAATGATGTCTGCCTCAATTGCTCTCTGAGACTCGAAAACCCTCAAGAAAGAATGTACTGAACTCTGTCCTCACCTTCTGGTGACATTTTACATTGACAATGTTTGCTACTGATCCATTCGAGGGGAATTCGCCTTTTTGGCTATCCCCTTTTCCTAACCCTTCATCATTAAAAAAAAAGCTCTATTCATTTTCCCTCGACCTTCTCTGATCCGATTGAAACATTCCAGTGGGTCAAATTACTGCATTCTCTGTTTCATTTTGGCTCTAGTGTCCTTTCTCTGGTGGATGTCCAAAACTGTATATCGCACACTAACTGTGGTGAGCACAATAGTTAACGCACCGTACATATCAACACTAGGCATTTCGCCGGGCTTATTCTCTTGAAGTGAGGGAAAGGGAAAATAGAGTGGGAACGCACCATCCAGCAGATATGTGCAAAGTGGCATTAGCTAAGACTACTGCTGGTCACAGGAAACAAAGGAATACCATACATTAAACCAAAACAACGAACTGCGGATGCCGGAAATCAGAAACTAAAACAGAAATTGCTGGGAAAACTCAGCAAATGGAGAGAAAGCAGTTTTGGTTAGTACAATACCATCAATCAGACAAAGAATTAGAGCAATACTCACAGCGAGGAAGATATGACTGGTGCACTCCGAACCAGTCTTACCTGCAAAAGAAATGCAAATTAAGATGGTGCAATTACAATGAAGTATATTTTGAAGGGTTACATTGTAAGCTTGATATTCCAATAAGCAAAACAGAACTCAAATGTATAGATGATGCACCCCCTTGCATGTGTCCATCAATGAATTAACCATTTTGGATGTGATCCCATTTGTTACCACTCAAAATGGCTGCTGAATGCCACAGCGATGCCTTTGCAAGCACTTCCTATGATACTGACATTTCATTCAACCACCACTTCGTGTCTAACTATTTCAAAATTTGCAGCTGCTGATGGCTCACAGTAACGTTTTTTAAAAAAAAAATCTGAGCTGCCAACTGGAATACGGAACACCCTTTTCGTTCATATCACATAGAACCTCGAATCTTGGCATCATCACAGCCATTCAGCCTGTCACATTCATGCCAGCTCATTTGCAAGACCCACCCAGTTGGTCACAACCCCTTGCCCTTTCCCTGTAACCCCACTCATCAAAGAGTTCAGTGGAATGGTGAGACTTTATAGCTCTCGGCTTAAACAGATTCTCTCCACATCCCTCACCTTCTCCTGAAGGTCTTGGAGCTTTGCCTCCAGATGGGCTTTGTCCTCCCGAAGCCTGTTGAGCTCCTGGCTCTGCTTGGACAACAGTTCACTGTCAGTGATCACAAAGGTTACTTCAGAGGGGCCGGGGTCCATATCCTTGATGCCTGATGATAGAATCTGCTCCCGCTGCATTCTGTGCCAAGTAAAAACACGCACACTCTCACAGACATGTTACTCCTCAAATGTATCCCCCCACCCTGGCACCAGCATCATGGAATGGGATTCCTTCCATTGCTGAGTGTCTTCCCCACCCCTGGTTCACATGGAATAACCATCAATGCACGCACCACCCCATCATTTTCAGGAAGGAAGACAAGGGGAGACAATTAAGGGACAAACGAACCATCCTGCCAGTGAAAACAGACTGAAAGTATGCCCATGTGTCTAATAAACCTTGAAGACTTTGTACACTGATGGGACAATGAGGCAGGTGGATGGGGTGGTGAACAATGGAGTAACAAAGAGATTGAGAGTTTGTACGTCGTGCCTAAGTTTCTAATTGGAGAAGGCAGTGTTAGGAAGTCATTCTGTCAATTAGAAGGCTGAGCTATGAATTTAGTACACTGTGACTCTTGCAAAGACACTCATGATGCTGACACATTTAATTATCCTGACACTTATTTGAGGGTGACGCATGCCTCTTGCCCAAAGATAGAGGGAAAAAAGCTACTCAGCATCATCCTGAGGTCGAGGCTGGGCCACATCCACTCTTGAGAGCAGCACTTGCTGTGAAACATTAACAATCATTGCTCCCTGCTCAGAGTCCAGTGGGCTCCACTAAATTACACTCATTCTTTCAAAAAAGTCTTTGTAATATTGTGTGACATTGTTAAAAACAAAGTTAAAATTAAATTGACTCTTGGCTCACTCAATAACATTAAAGTGCTGCAGCATATACTTTAGCTTCCATTTGTGTCAGTTCCCAACACCTAGGAGAGATGTCATCTTTCTGAGTGTTATTGCTAACTTGCCTAGGCACTGTCCAATGTCCGTCTCATGAGAAGCAAAACCAAAAGCCCAAGCATTCCCAAAAGCAACAGTGAAAGATTTCCTCATCAGGTCATTCTGCACATCTCTATCATTATAAAGGCAAAGTACTGAGGATGCTGGAAATCTGAAATAAACACAGAACATGCTAGAGAAACTCAGCAGTTATTGCAGAATACATAGATAGACAAAGAGAGTTAACATTTTGAGTCTGGTATGACTCTTAGTGTCATAGAGTTGTACAGCACAGCAACAGACCCTTTGGTCCAACTCATCCATGCTGACCAGATACTCTAAATAAACCTAGTCAAATTTGTCAGCATTTAGCCCATATCCCTCTAAACCCTTCCTATTCATGTACCCATCCAGATGCCTTTTAAATGTTGTAATTGTACCCAGCTCCACCACTTCCTATGGCATCTCACTCCATACACGCATCACCCTCTGCGTGAAAAAGTTGCCCCTCAGGTCCCTTTTATATCCTTTCCCCTCCCACCTTAAACCTATGCTGTCTAGTTTTGGACTCCCCTAACCTATAGGTTATTTACCATATCCATGCCCCTAATGATTTTAGAAACCTCTATAAGGTCATCCCTCAGCCTCCAATGCTCCAGGAAAAATAGCTCCAGCCTATTCAGCTTCTCCCTACAGCTCAAACCCTCCAACCCTGGCAACATCCTCGTAAATCTTTTCTTCACCCTTTCAAGTTTAACAACATCTTTCTGATAGCAAGGAGACCAGAATTGAACACAGCATTCTTCTTCAGAACTGAAGAGTCAAATCAGACTTGAAACATCCACCCTGTTTCTTTCTCCACAGATGCTATCAGACCTACTGAGTTTCTCCAGCATTCTCTATGCTTTCTACCTTTATATATCCTAGCCGCATTCACATTTATGACAGTCACAATTCAATCACTTCTGAGCGATTTTGTTTTAACATGGTTCCAAGACTCGTTCAACAATCTGAGATGTAGAATTTCTCCATCACCTGGAATTAAGGTTACAATGGGGTCAGACTGTAGTCGTATTTGCTATTACTAACTTCCCATCCCTATTCATACAGTCAGTGGTGACATGATTTCTTTGCTGAATGCAATCAGAAAATAATCCCATCAGGGGCAATGACAGTGCAAACCTTTCTCCATTTATCCACTATTTTGAAGATTATTTCAAGACTAGGGTCCTCATTTTTAAGGTGAGAAGAGAGGGATTTAAAAAGGCATGAGAGGCAATTTTTGTTTTACACAGAGGGCGGTTTGCCTGTGAAATGAACTTCCTGAGGAAGTGGTGGGATGCGGGCATAGTTACAACGTTTAAAAGACACTTAGATAAGGAAAGGTTTGGAGGGACATTGCCCAGGAACAGGCAGGTGTAACTAGTTTAGTTGGGATTATGGTCGGCATGGACTGTCTAGACATAATGGTCTGTTTCCATACTGTATGCCAAAGAGCAAAAGGAATGAGGGCAAGATCAGGTTTACGTACAACAACTCAATAGCTTACTGAGCTGTGCACGGCAGAGAAGGTGTGGTGGATGGGCTATTAATGTGCCCACTATCATTGAGATGCGGTGTGACAGAAGAAGCTAGGTCAGCATTGCACATGAGAATGCCTGACAATAGTGCACACCCTCAAAAAGAATAAATTGAGCAACTGGTCATGGCACGTTATATCTCCAAATTTTTCTCATGTTCTCAAATGCTAGCCCAGACTCAAGGCTGAATTACTGTACAACCGTGATGAGAATACTCAGCTAGATTTTTCGTTTACCTGTACGCAATCAAAAGGTGTTCGTGCTTCTTGACTACATTCTGCATCCGTTTCTTGTAGTTTCTAGCTGCAGCCGCCAGTTGTTCTTCCCGTGATCTGTAGGCAGATCGAATATCCTTTAGCATGCTGTCCACAAATCTCTTCAAGTAAGGCTGGTCAGGAGAGGGCTGTGTGTGGTCACTGCCGGATTTCACTGTGTTATCCACATATTCCTTACACAGAACAACAACACCGTTACTGTATTTCTCAGCCACGTCAAGCATCTACTTGCACATTCGATTCACTGGAATGCTGAACATTAAAAGTTTGCGCTTAACCGGTAACTATTCACTCACAGTAACGTCTCCAATGTAACGGACAAGCCGCATGCGATATTCCTCGTTCAGTTCTTTCAGTTGGAGCTGTAACTGAGAGTTCTCAGTTTCAACCTCCTTCAGCTGACTCTGCGAACCGAGCAGCGCCTATTGGGGATTCCAAAATGGTACTAATGTAAGCACATGTGCCTGATTACAGAGATTATTTCATTCAACAATAATGGTTTTGCTTCACAGTGAGAAAGATTTGAGTTCATGTCTTTGGTAAGTGAGAACAAATTCCAGAACACATACATTTTACATATCCAATTGTGTGTATTCGTATGTAGAAGTACAGAATAAGAGAACAGTTTCTTATCAATTGATGAACAAAAGAAAGAAATGTTACCTAGCTATAATTTTGAAAGGTAGAGATAACACATCGTGGAGCTGGAGGAAGACAGCAGGCCAGGCAGCATCAGAGGAGCAGAAAACATTTTCTGAAGAAGGGTCCCCACCCAAAACATCAGCTTTCCTGCTCCTCTGATGCTGCCTGGCCTGCTGTGTTCCTCCAGCTCCACACTGTATTATCTCTGACTCCAGCATCTGCAGTTCTTACTATTTCATTTTAAAAAGGTAGTTGCTTCAATAAAAGGCTACTATTGAGAACTGGGTCTCAAAACTGCCATTTAAAGCCAGGCTTCATTTGAGTGAGACTTTTCACAGCAAGAGATTGGCTGTTTGTGAACATAAGGGATGCAATTACATAAACTTTTACAGTACAGTCTGAGACCCTTCAGCTCTGCAAGGTTATACCTTATCCTGCTTTCTTTCTCACATATACCCTCAACCAACCTCTATCTCAGTCAGCTAGAGGGCTAGTCTGAGGTGCAGAGTGATGCCAACAGCGTGGGTTCAATTCCTGCACTGGCTGAGGTCAACCTGAAGATTCCTTGCTCCTGATATTCCTCCTTGCCTCAGGCAGGGTAACCCTCAGAGAGAAAGAATTGCCTCTCTCCAATGAGAGAGTGGAACTATGGTGACTTATAATGCATCTGCACTGGCCACCTCTCAGCCTCTCTTGTGGTTCTGAGTTCCACATTCTAAGCACTCTCTGAGCAAAGAATTTGCTGCTCAATTTCTTGTTAGCTTTCCTAGCAATTACTTTGCTTTTAATGGCATTTGGTTTTGGAATATTCACAAGTGGAAACATATCTATGAATATTGTCTATTACAAGGGCAATTATGACCTCACCAGTAAACACATGTCCTGAGAACAAATAAAAACTTTTTAAGCTGTACAAGTATCTGTTGGAATGGTATTCATGTCAGTCTCATGGGTCTCAATGGACTACACAGTGACAGATAGCAATAATATAAACTAGGAATCGATGTTATTCATTCCAGTGAGAGTGCTTGATAACTCAAAATTGTAGTGATTGGAACCAGGGCTAGGTGGATCTCATTAACTATGAGACCCTTGATTGGGGTTATTAACCTGGGTCAATCAGGGAGCCCTGGCTGGCAGATATAAACAGGAGATTACATAGAATCCCTACAAGTGTGGAAACAGACCCTTTGGCCCAACAAGTCCACACTGACCCTCAGAGCATCCCACCCAGACCCATCCCCCTATTGCCCACCTAGTCTATGCATCCCTGAATGCTATGGGCAATTTAGCATGACCAATCCACCTAACCTGCACATCTTTGGACTGTGGGAGGAAACCAGAGCATCCGGAGGAAACCCACGCAGACACGGGGAGAATGTGCAAACTCCACACAGACAGTTGCTCAAAGGTGAAATCGAACCCGGGTCCCTGGCACTGTGAGGCAGCAGTGCTAACCACTGTGCCACCATGCCACCCCTAGATTCAGAGAGTCACCTTGATCTAGGAACTGGCTCTGAGCGGGCTGGTCAGAGCCTGTGTACTGTGCACATGTAAATAAAGGGTGACTTGGTGATGGGATATCGCCTCAGTGCTGTTACCTCAAGAATGCTACAGTTTCCTATATTCATCTGAGTCTGAGTGTATTTAATTTAGAATCCAAAAATGACCAGACATTTCCAAAACAAAATGTCACAGGGCATCTGATTGTTCCACCTTTCTCCATATTACACATGATCAGAAAAGACAAATTTCAGTACAGTTTTGAAGTGGGAACAATACAAGTATGTAGCAAGTGCTGAAAGGGTTAACAGTGAGTGGAAAAGGTACCAGACAGTTAGTAATAAGGGAAACAAGGGCAAATGGGCCTTCTGATGACTGCAGCAGGCACCAGTATGGAATACAGGTGCAGACAGAGTTCACAAAGAATAATGTGCTGTAACCTCGTGATAATAGATGTTACCTGCATAGTACAGATATCCTGTTACATGTATGCATGTACAAGCTGAATTGGTCAAGGCCCTTGCTTTGCCTTTTAAATTGGCAGATAAGTGAATGTGCACTCTAATGTAATGAATGGTGCACAACAGAAGGGGTAATAATATGAATAAAAAGGTATATAAAACATTCGTAGCTTTTATATCATTGGAAAAGTTTCCTCATGTTCCATTGAGAATGATTCCCCACTGGTGTTAAAAAAAACTGCTAGAAATATTAACCAGAATTTTGTGTGGAGTGTCTATTTAAAATATGCCACAACATGCTCTCCCATTAATCTTATTTCTTACCACTGTTTGCTCTGCGAGTTTGTGTTGGGTGTTTCGAATAGCTCTTTTGGCCTCTTGAAGTTCTTTACCCATTTTTGCTCTAAAACAGAGGTTTTAATAGTTTAAAGAAAAACTTATAGTTAATTAGTGGAAATATCATTTGCAAGTACTATACTAACAATATCTTATGTTCAGTGTCTCCAAGTGGAGTAATATCAAACTTAATAAATGTTGTAGAAATATGTTGTCATAGCAATTAGAAGAATTTTTTAATTGTTCAAACATGGAGCTATGTTAATCCAACCTTCCTCCAGTCTATACAGAGAGAGGAACTGACTGAGTGGCGTTGTCGCTGGACTATTACTCCAGGAATCCAGGTAGTATTATAGAGACCAAAGTTTGAATCCTGCCATGACACATGGTGGAATCTGATCTCAATAAGAGTCTGGAATTAATCGTGAAGCTGTTGGCAATTGTTGGGGAAAACCCTATCCAGTTCAGTAATGTCCTTTAGGGAAGGAACCTACTGTCCTTATCTGGTCTGGCCTACATGAAACCAGACAGATCGCCTGGCAGAAACAGCCCTGTCGACCTGCACAGCAACAGCAATCTACAAAATATACTGCAGAAATTCACCCAAGATTGTCAGACAGTACCTTTCAAACTCATAACCACTTCCATCTAGAAGGACAAGGGCAGTGGATACATGGGAACACCACCATCTGCAATGTTCCCCTCCAATCCACTCATCCATCCTGACTTGGAAAATATTGCTTTTCCTTCATTGGTGCTGGGCTGAAATCCTGGAATTCCCTCCCTAACAACATTGTGAATCAACCCACAGCAGGTGGACTGCAGTGGCCCAAGAAGGCAGCTCACCAATGAGAGAGCAGCCCTATGGTCCACCGGAACTATGGTGACTTATAATGCATCTGCACTGGCCACCTCTCAGCCTCTCTTATGGTTCTGAGTTCCATATTCTAAGCACTCTCTGAGCAAAGAAGTTGCTGCTCAATTTTTTGTTAGCTTTCCTAGCAATTACTTTGCTTTTAATGGTACCTGGGTTTGGAATACTCACAATAGGAAACATCTCTATGAATATTGTCTATTACAAGGGCAATTATGGCCTCACTGGTAAACCCATAGCATAGAATCATAGAATTCCTGCAGTGTGGAAACAGGCCCTTTGGCCCAACAAGTCCACACTGACCCTTGGAGCATCCTACCCAGACCCATACCCCTATAACCCACCTAATCTACACATCCCTGAACACTACAGGCAATTTAGCATGGCCAATCCACCTAACCTGCACATCTTTGGACTGTGGGAGGAAACTGGAGCACCTGGAGGGACCCACGCAGACATGGGGAGAATGTGCAAACTCCACACAGACAGTCACCCGAGGCCAGAATCGTACCCGAGTGCCTGGTGCTGTGAGGCAACATGCTAACCACTGAACCACTACAAATATAAAAAAAAAACTTTTAAGCCATACAAGGATCTGTTGAAATGGTATTCATGTCAGTCCCAGAGGTCTCAATGGACTGCACAGTAACAGATAGCAATAATATAAACTAGAATTGATGTTACTCATTCCAGTGAGAGTGCCTGATAAATCAAAATTGTAGTGATTGGAGCCAGGTCCAGGTGATCTCATTGCCTATGAGACCCTTGATTGGGGTTATTAACCTGGGTCAATCAGGGAGCCCTGGCTGACAGATATAAACAGGAGATTCAGAGAGTCACCTCAGTCCACGGACTGACTCTGAGCAGGCTGGTCAGAGCCCATGTACTGTGCACATGTAAATAAAGCGTTCCTTGGTGATGGGATATTACCTTCGGAAGGGCAATTAGGAATAGACAATAAATGCTGGCCTAGCCAGTGATGCCCACATCTCGTGAATGAATAAAAGAAATGCACTATCTAATGCAGGACTGCGCCAGATAAAACAGAACAGAAAGCTAATTGATTCAATCCTGACCTCTGCTTTGTTAGCTGACCTTCATCAGGATCCCAGTAGGGGAGCTACATAGTGACCTCTTAGGTTGAAGGGATGGGGAAAAAAATCAGGCAGAATTCCCATACTATTTTGTTCTTAAACGATCTGTGTGCACATGAAGGATCAAACAAGTAGCACCAAACCTTGTCACATCATGACCTGTGAGGAAAGATTGAATAGACTGAACAAGATCTCTGGAGTTTAGAAGAATTGGAGGTGACCTCATTCCAATAAACAAAATTGTTTGAGGGAGTGATGGGGGGGATACAGGAAGGATATCTCCCCTGATTAGGGGATCTAGAACAAGGGATCCCAGTCTCAAAATATGGGGTAGGCCATTTAGGACTGAGATGAAGAGGAATTTCTTCAATCAGAAGGTGGCAAATCTTTGGAATTCTCTACATCAGAGAAGGGTAGTTCAAAACATGGATCAATAGATTTCTTCATATTAAAGGCGTCAAGGGATAGTGGAGGAAAATGGTATTGTGGTGGAAGATCAGCCATGATGCTATTGAGTGGCATTGCAAACTCAAGGGACTGAATAGTCTACTCCTGCTCCTGTTACTTAAGTTCTTAAAATGTTGCATCAATCTCTTATAATGGTATAAATCAAATGCTGTTCAGAGAGATCATAGAATCCCTACAGTGTGGAAACAGGCCCTTTGGCCCAACAAGTCCACACTGATCCTCACAACATCCCACCCAGACCCATCCCCCATAACCCACCTAATCTACACATGGACAATTTAGCATGGCCTTTCCACCTAGCCTGTACATCTTTGGACTGTAGGAGGAAACCAGAGGACCTGGAAGAAACCTATGCAGACACGGGGAGAATGTGCAAACTCCACACAGACAGTCACCTGAGGGTGGAATTGAACCCAGGTCCCTGGTGCTGTGAGGCAGTAGTGCTAACCACTGAGCCACCTAAATTGTATTAACATATTGGTGAAAATGAGACCAGACTAATTGATTGATGTGCAATGTAAATGGACTGATCCAATCAAAGACAGAAATTGCTGGAGAAACTCAGCAGGTCTGGTAGCATCCATGAAGAGAAAACAGAGTTAACATTTTAAATCCAGTGACTGGATTGCTGCCTGAGCCACGTGCAAATTGGCATAGGGAGACGAGGATCAGGGAAGTAAACACGTGGCTAAAAGAGTGGTGTGGGAAACAGGGTTTCCTTTTCATGGGGCACTGGCATCAGCTCTGGGACAGGAGGGATCTATACCGCTGGGATGGACTCCACCTGAACAGGGCCAGGTCCAGGGTTCTGGCGAAAAGGGTAAATAGGTTGGTTAATAGGACTTTAAACTAGTAAGTAGGGGGGAAGGGAGAAGTGAGCGTAGAGGGAGAATAACAATTAATGTAAGGCAAAGCAGCAGGTTAGCAGGTGACGAGGAAGCTTCAACTCCATTGAAAATTAGGAAAAAAGTTAAAGGGAAGGAGAACTCAAGAGCTGTTAGTAATGGAGGTAATAGGACCCAAAAAGAAGGTGCAAAAACTGGCATAAGGGCACTTTATCTGAATGCTTGGAGCATTCGAAACAAGGTGGATGAGTTGACGGTGCAAATCATGGCAAATGGGTATGATTTAGTGGTCATTACAGAGACATGGTTATAGGATGGTCATAACTGGGAGTTAAATATCCAGGGGTATCAAACTGTT